AAAAGTATTGCAGCAGTGGAGAGAGTAGCAGGGGGCAGGGCTACTTTTAGGTTGCCCGGGATAGAGAGTTCTTGCCTTTTGCCACTCACTCTGACAAAGATGGTTCCTATTTTGATAAGAGTTAAAGTGCAGTACTTAAATTGATGTTTGAATGAGATGACCCAGCTTTTGGGGGGTCAATTTTCTGACTACTTTTTTACGTACACTTGTGTATATACAGTATATCTTCTCACAGAATGAATTTGAATGACTAAGTCTGAAATTACAAAATGGCATATCTACCTATAGAGCTCATAAAGGTTTAGGAAAAATTACAATTATTTTTGACATTTTTTAAAAAATAAGTTATACCCTTCTCTTTTTAGAATCACTAATATGCCAATACAAGTCTCATCATGCAACCTACTGTATTTCCAGATGAAGACACAAAAAAGACTGCATGTACCACTCCTCTATTTTATTCTGAATATATATGAAAAAATATTAATACAAGCCAGATTTATTTTAAAATATTTAATTCTCAGTACACAAAATAACTTAATATATTTACTTGACAATACTTTTGAGTATTTTCACTAGCACATGTGACACCCAAACATGGCTGAGAAAAAAAATAAGTATACTCTATTAAAATATATTGTATCATACAAACACATGCAAAGAGCATCTGGCTTCAGATCAGTCAGATATCAAGAAAATGCAAAGTCACAATCCATTCCTGCAAGGATGCAACTCAACCTTCCCAACTCCAGTGTGCACAAATTGCAGTATGCTTCCCATGTCTATAATAAATTTAAAAACCAGTGCACAGCATCAATACAAAATTCCCATCTATTCCTTCCTTCTACAGTGCTATGACCTGCAAGTCAATATTTTTCTGAACTGAAAACTATTTGCAGGTATAGCAACTGGAGAAAAGGGGGACAAGTGAATCACTATAAGGCAGGGATTGAACAAATTTCCACAGCTAAATAGTCAGTGTGCTGTAGTGAATCTGTACTGAATCAACCAGGAAGAAGAATAAGAATTCATTAAGCTCTTGATCAAATGCTGGAAATTTGTTTCCTTCCAGATTTTGAATGGCCGTAATTCCCATCATCTCTCATTACTGTTCATCCTGACTAGAGGGGTTTACAGTCTAAGGACATCTCGAAAGCCATAGGTTTTTCCCACCTCTGCTCTAGGTCAACCCCCTCTTAGGTAAGCAGCAGTGCTTGGAGGATGGATTGCATCTTTACTATCTGAAGAACATTTAACATCAAATAGAAACATTTTGGAAGCTGAAAATAATAATACAAGAAGCACAAATAGACACAAACTTAAGAAAATATATTTTCTACTTTGGTCAAAGGATATCGAAATATATATATACACACATATACACACCTATATATACATACATACATTATTTATTAAAATTACAGCATCATATCACTATTTTATTTACAGTGCATTTACATTTACTTTATGACCATTTCAGCATCTTATTGACAGACCTCGTGTTGTCCATTACTCATTTAATCACTGGAAAGCTACCTGTCGCAAATTATTGCATTATACAACCTATTTAAGAACAAGATTTTCCCTCAACTTTTAATTTATTCAGTTGTTCTTTTGGGATTTCAACCTTGCAAGGGTAAAAAAAACTAGAATCTGCCACACTGTGATGATTATAAGGAAGTTACAAAACTAATGGGGAAAATAATCAACTGAACAGGAGGAAATAGTAAATCGGATTTGTTATAATCATGAAAAATATAGTAATTATTTAAAAAGAGTGATATTCAACAGGCTCCCTAAATTGTGACAATCAGTGAAAAATCACAATCACAGTAATTGGCTCCCAAATGTAATGGAATGTTTTTACTGCTGCTACAACAACAAAGACTTAAACAGCTCGATAATTTAATATTTTGGCATGGCTTATTTTTCTTCTGCTTTAAAAAATCTGTATAAAAACATCTCCTGACCATATATACAGTGCACACATATTAACTATAGCTGCCTGTTTAATTAGTATAAAGTTAAGCGAGCCAGTATATTTACTGAAAACACAGCAATGCATTTTATCAAATGAAAATTGGATTGTCCAGTATCTCACATGGTTTTCTGCACCTACAATGGCACCTGTTCTGCATGTATTCCCCTAAAAAATTTCCAAATTTGCCTTGGAGTATTCCACAGGGGTATGAGAAAGGCTGCAGGAAAAAATCCATTCTACCACTTGTACCTGTTCTGTTGGTAGATGAGCAAAGCTGCATGCTACCCATTGACAATACTAAAAGGGGGAAAAATAATGTAACAGTTCACAAATGGTCACAGAATTCTTTGTAAGGAATGTATGGAAAGTTATCAGAAACTGGAAACTATAAAAAAATATAAGAACACATCAATACTTTAAGACACAAAAAGTCAAAAGGAGACTTTTTTTCTATAATCAAGGGTCCATCACACAGGCCAAACCAGGTGAGGTGGGGGTGAATGGACTTAGTGGCATCCACATAACAGACGAGGCAGGTGTGTCTTAAGGCCCAGGAAGGCTGCTTAACACATCCTTGTCCTACATCACCCCAAGTCGGGGAATATCCTGAAACAATGACCGCCAGCAATTTCATACCCAATGGTAACCGCTACACTGAGGACACATTGGCAAGTAAGGCGGTAAGGATATCCATCTAGCGGTGCGAAGCCAGGTTCAGCTGAGAGGCTAACTGTGCAAACTTCCCTGGAGCTGATCCAAAGTAGCCCATTCTGAATTAGCTCCAGTATGTGGGCCGTGTAGATAGGCTTATAGTGAGTTTTATAGGATTACATCTTTACTTAATAAGATATGAAAAAACTTTTGTTTATACATGTATCCAACCTTTTTTTCTCTGTTTGACAATATACCAAAGCTGATAATTTAGTGTACAGAATGGGAAAATAGGCTTTGAGAATACAGTTTTCCCCTCACACTGCAAATGAAGATGGAAAGTAGCTTAGTGAGCAAAAAGAAAGGTTGGGTGAGACAGAACTTTCTAAACACAACAAACTAGAGGGAGCTGCAAATCAGGCATTCTTTTTCCCAATTAAATTTAACTATTGCTGTATGGAGAACTAAGATTCTATTTAGCTAATACTGAAACTGTATTTATATTACTTGGAAAAAATTTTAAGACTGATTCACATATGATATAGGTAAGTACTTTTAAAATACTGTATGTGCCTTGTAACATTTCCTAATGTGAATGTACAATATATAGCTTCAATTACATGATTTTGGGGCATTCCCCATGAGACAATACCTATGATTTCTGGTAGGTTCCCCTGGAGGGGTGTCTACAGAGAAACCAGGAAGGGGACACTATTACATAAGCATGCCTTCCACTTGTATAGCACTGGATACAACTCAACGTATGTAAAGACACAATACGTCTGGAAAACCATGTTTTCAAAGCTGTCAATAAGACTGTGCTTCTGAATATATATTAGTGGTCCCTCCTAGGTTTACAAATGGCTCAGAACCATGTTCAACTTTAAATTATTTTTACCAAGGATGGGCTATTTTTCGTAAAAAAAAAAAAAAAAGCTAAAAGGAAACATAAAATGGAGCTTGCTCACATTAGAAGGCAGCTATGTTAACAACAGTAGTCCACAAATAAAGTAGTAACATATAAACATTACATTATAGACAATTAATTCATAGTACTATACATTCAATAATTTGTTCCTCAGTGTCATTTTTAAAACCTGAATATTAACACTGTTCTTTACAGCAGAATCAGCACATACTTTTTGAAAAAATATTCTCAATGTTATTTGGAAAAGATCCAGTATTCAAACAGTATTATAAAACTACAAAATAAGGAATAAAAGAATAAAAAGACTCAAATTCAGTGCACCTCTTTAAAAGTTTACTGCATTTGTTAACTAATATAAACTGATAATTGTTTTTGCTTTTAGGAAATCTATCCCACACTGCAATCTGAAGTTAGATTGTATAAAATATTTTGAATGTTAAAAATAATATAAATTGGTTACTAGCACATTGCACTGTTATCTAGTGAAGGCCTTCTTTTGGCCTGATTTCACAATGTCATCAGGAGATGGTGATTTGAAGTCAAAAGGAGTTATTGCTAATAAGGGCCCAACATCGTTAATTTTCACTTCTTGCATTTGTATGCTATATAAGAAAGCCTTGTGGAGATTAACAGTCTGGCGTTTACATCTCTTTGAGGGATAACGAAGACATAATGTTATAGCAAAGGCTGAAGGTCTTGCAGAGAGGGCCTTTGTCTGGGGAACAGGACCTTCTAAGATATGTGATCGCAATTTTTTCTTGCTTTTTTTTACTCCTTTAACACCAGAAATTTGATGTCCACGTGTTGAACATAAAGTTTCTGTTTCTGGAAGCAGAGAGCCTGATTTTACCACTGCCGGCTCTGAAGTTAATGCTGATTTTCTAATAAGAACACTTAGATCAATATCTGAATTCACAACTGCAGGTTGCGCTATTTTAGATCTGTACAGCTCAGAAGAGTTGCTTGTTTCGGGCTTAACCACTTCAATGGACTTTGCAATTAAATCTGAAAGAGACAGGCTCTCAAGCTCCTTCACAGGAGAAGGCCTAGAAAATGCCAAGGAAGATAAAGATCCTGACAATTCTGTCAATCCAGATGAAGTTTGAGGTTGATTAGATAATTGAGACAATGGTGAATATCCTAATTCCATATTTGTGAAGCTTGCTGATGATGGGTTACAAAGATCAGACAAAGAAAAGGTTTTGTTGGAATTACGGTCTTGGTGCTCCTGCAAGAGATCAGCCAGTGATGGGCTTTCAGATAATGAAAATTTCAAGCTATCAGACTCTACAGAGCTTTTGTTTTGCTGAAAAGAAAGGATGTTTCCAGAACAATCAGTCTCTTCATTTATCTTATGATTTATATTATTATCTAGCATCATATTACTCAGAGCACTTATTAAACCAGGAGGATTATCCGAACAGATTTTGCCATCATTACCAGATTTTTTCTGAAAATCAATCAATGTAAGGTCTTGAGCATCCAGCGAGTCACCAGTTTTGTTAAGTCTCAACAAGGACTTCAAGTCCTGAAGTCCTTCACATTTCAAATGATTACATGAGCTCTTTTCTGGTGGATATTCTTTCAGCATTTCAGCCCCTGAACTAAAGCATGAACTACATTCATTACAAGACTGCCAATCCACTTTGCTGCCAGCTACTGGGAGTGATGCTTCTTTTCTGAATGATTCATCAAGTGTCATGTTATTGGCACTGAATGGAAGATAAAGCTGCCCCAAGGACTTGCAAGAAGACATTAAGGGTTTCTTTTTGATCCAAGGTGCATTGACATGTTTGGGCCTGAAGAGAATTTTGTCACTTGGATCTGGAGGGATATGAGGTGATTCAAACCTGGCTATAGGACCACCAAGACTAAAGCAGGGGGGAGAAGAATTTGAGGTGTGTTCCACCATGTTAGTTAAGTTAACACCAGAAAATATTTCTGAACAAAATAAGCCTTACCTTACAAAAGCCAACAGTTTCAAGACAGATGAAAAGCCGCGGCAAAAAGTTCCAATTTTGTCAAGGTGGGAAAGGCAACAGCAAAATCAAGAAGAAAAAACATGACAAGGCATTTAATTAACAAACATTATTAAAACTATTGTGAGAGGTGTAAATCATATGGACACTAACTCAGTTTAATAACTATGCTAAATTACTCACAATTCTGCAGCACATGCTCCCTCATCAATACAGTTATAGTGGAAATGACTAATTTATTACTTAAGCAGTTATTATCTTAATTACATTTATCTAGCTCATGCAGTTTTGCTACCAAATGTATTTACAAAAAGCTGCAGTTGTACTTGAAAGATGACAGTTTAACTGCAACTCATGGATTATTTACAAGTTGCTGATATACAGATCTATTGATACAGTATTTCATCACATAATAGTAATCATCACCCAATAATCACAGCCCACTTTCAGGGTCCTCTTTTTGGTAGTTTGTGATTCCTCACATACTATTTGCACCCATGATTTAGATTCCCTCCCCGCTGTAAGCAGGCTAGCATTTCCTTCCACTCACTCACCCATCCACACTTGCCCATACGCTCACCCACTCGTCACTCCACTCATCCATTTGCCCACCCACCCACTTACACATGCACACACTCACTCACTCACTCACATACCCATTCAGCCACCCCGTTACATAAAAGGGGTAGGTAAGCAGATGGATGGGCGTGCGAGTGAGTGAGTGAGTGAAAGAGTGGTTATCTCAAGTTGTTTTCAACTTCGCTTTATTAAAAAAAGTTTTTTCCCCTCACGTAAGTTGCACACCCCTTTTTGTGAAAAAAAAAGAGTGGAATGTGCAAGTATTACGCAATAGAATATGGTATTATGAAAAACTATTTATTCTTTCAACAAATTTAAGGACAGAAAAAAGCTGTTCTTACGCACTGCTGTTTTGCTTATACAGCCTATCTCTACAAGAAAACATTCACAGTAAAACCTTGGAAAATTAAATGTAAACATACCTTTTGGTGCCTTCCCTGTAAGCATAGGATCCTCATTTTTTGTCTTCAGATTTGGCTTATTATCTTGTGAAAGCACAGAATCCAAAGCTTGCTGTACATCAAATTTATTATGCAGCACTGCTTCCACCATCACTTTCTCTGGCACAGACTCTCCAAGCACTTCTCTCATATGGTCAAGGCACGACTCAAGTTGAGCTTAAAACAAACAAACAACCAAGCTATGACTATACAAGAGAAAAGACACTGTTCAAATTAAGTAGTCAAAGAGAGATGCTTGAATTTCCCTTCTGCAAACATTTACATCCAGAGACAATGTTTGTTTTCCCTTCTCTGCATATCTAGAGAATTCTTTGCTAAATATTTACCCTTAGTTATTATCAAGACCAGCCTGTCAAAAGTTAAAAAAAACCCTCTATATATTCCACATTAAGTAATTATACATAATTAGGAATCACTTAACAGTTCATTTTAAGCATTTACAGTTATTGCAGTGAATATGTAACATAAATAGCATATTTTCTGGTCGCACGTCCCAGCAGACTATTGCCACATCTACATCTCGGAATTCAAAAAGTCCAGAAGTTGCATTGTTATCGAGAGAATATAGGAGGTCAGTTCTTCTTTTGGGTTCTCCAGGCCAGATTAAGCTCTCACCTTTTGCCACACTCCTCTGAGAAGGGAATGGTTTCTTTTTAAATAAATTAAGCTACAGTACTCGCATTGATCCATAGCAAACCAAAGCTTTGGAGGTCAATTTTGACTAAAATTTCTAGACTTATACATAATTATAGGTAGTGCCTCAAATTAATTAGAATACACAATCCATGCATATTAAATAAATTCTGTTTCTATAGTTACCTTTTTGTATTTCAGTTAACTTCTGAGAGACACAGTTGCTATGTTCTGTATCTTCATAGCCATATTCTTCTTCTTCTAATGGTTCAGGACATCCTGCTTTGTTATCCCGTCTTGAATATATAAACTGAGCAGCTATGACACAAACCAGCATTAGAATATTTATTAGTATTCAGTTATCCTACAACTTTTCTAAATCCTCTTGTTTCTTAAACAAAAGTCATATTCAAGAAATATTTCCAGTAACTATTTCAACAGTTTATTCTAATAGACTTTGAACAGATATTATTCTAACAACTCACAACAGATATTCCTGAAAATTTGGTTCAAATATCTGCCTCTTTTATTCTTGACCATATGCATGTAATTAGAAGATACAGAAGGGGCAAATGATTAACGCAACACTAGAGTATTTTATTTTGGGTACTTTGTTTTTTTTTAAAAAATGAGTAGAGATAGCTGGCAACAGCTATATAAAAAGTTTAGACTGTTGGGTCCTTAGGAGGAGGAAGCTGTTAGAATTCAAGCCTGACTTAGGAACTGAATCACATTACGAAAAGATATTAAACCATATGTGCCTCCCTTTTTCTCCTAACCATTGCTATATCAGTGTGCACTTCAATATTTTCTACAAATACCAGTTTACAGACATCTATATAGCACCAAAGGAGAAATCTATCAGATATAGCGCATCATATCTGAAACAAACAGAATACACTAACCTGTTGAGGGTGAAATGCAAAAATCATCCTCTACAGACTGTCCATAGAGATCATCTTCTTCAAAGTCTAAAATAGGAAAAATACAATGAAACTTCTTTAAATCATTTAAAACAGTTTCCTAAACATTGGGGAAAACCTCCTGACAGAGCTGTTTGACAGTGGAATATACTGATTCAGAGTGTGATGGAGTATCCTTCTCTGTTGGTATTTAATGGGGGCAAAATGGGGTCAAAATTAATTTTACAGTGTAGATGCACCCTATATATAATGCTTACTACTAACACATAGATTTCCTTCTAAAATACATTATCAAGTCTTATAAGTGTTCACATAGCTTTGCAGCAAGGAAAGCAAAATATGTTTATTTCTATAAAACATGGGTAGAAATTGATGAACACACTATGGTTTGTACCACACACAGCACTTTACCCTGAACTTCCATTTAAGAACGTTACTCAAGGGAACTAGGAATAGGTTTTCTAATATTACAGAAGGCCGCAGAAGGAGATAGGAAGAAAGATTTCCATTCATCTGACATGGGACATTAAAATACACCACTGGATTATGACTTGAAGAAGTTTTCCTATATAAACTTTTTTGTATATGTTTAGTCTTTGAATTGTTATATCAGACATTTTGCATTGTCAAAAGCTCCTGTATTAAAATGACACTCATATTTAAATAACGACCAAGTTAATCCTACTTGCCACTGCAGAGTGCCAGCACTGGAACTTTTGAAAAATGCAAAGCCCTACCTATATAAGAAAGGTATAATTAATGCAAGAAAGGGGCCCTCTGCCTTACACTCCCTGGATCTTTGGGAAAAAAAACAATCGGAAGGAACTGATATATTCCAACTCCAAGTATATCATCAGACAGTCTGAAAGCATATATCAGTCTAGGAGTGTGCGGAAAACCATTACAATGTTTCATGTAACATCATGTTTGTATAAGTCTAACTCTACAACTAAGCAACTGCTTTTTTCAGAACTTTCTTTTCAGATTAAGGATAAAAACAGGCAAAATTCAAAATGAAGCAAGTAAGGCACAGGTTAGCCAATTTCCAGGGGTTCTGATTTTGCATAGACTCTTATAGAAACATAGACGTCTAGCCCACCTCCATTTTCACACATCTAAAAGCTAGGATCCATTTTTTCCTTCAAATGACCAATAGTGTAACCAAACCCAGGGAACACTATCAGCTATTCTGCTTCATATGTGGGCTTTATAGGGTCCCACAAATGCCTTTTTTGGCCATAAAAAAAGAGACCCTACCCCCTAATGTAACAAAATGACAATGTCTCCTACGGAGTCTAAAGACTCTATTGGCCTTTTGGTGGTGGGAAAAAACTGAGTCTTTTAAATTTTGCATCTTTAAGACTGTTCAAATGATAATTGTTAATTTTTTTTATTTTTAACTTTATTAGCTCTCTACAGAGGACTAAGTATACCACCGCTTTTACAACTTTACAGATGGAGATATAATTAACAAATTTAGAAACTGGTCACTAAAATGTTCATATCTGAAGAGAAGTCATTGACTTTATAAAGCAATCTAAACATTACCAAATTGACTCTATTAAAAGATAAACATGCTACGACAACTCTTAATCTATCATCTCAATAGCTCATATATATCACCTATGACCAAAGAAAGTAAGTTATATGTCAAGTTATGTGTTGACATATGATTTCACCCACATAATCGTTTTTGCTACTATGAGGATTATAATACCAAATTATTTATTGATTTTAAAAATGGTAAGGGGTAGGCAAACACTGCTGAATCATTTGATTGGATTTTATGATTAATGACATCTTGTTAACAATTAATTCTAATACATTCTAAGCACAGCCATACACTAACTGAAAATTACTGAAGATCGATAGTTTGTGTAGTGTGAAGTTAAAAGTTTTTACAAACATACTTTGTAAATCTCAACCAACTATCTTACAATTGATCGATTTTGATGGAATATTTAACTACAAATAATGTCTGCACCTTTCTGATTGTTAGGCTTACAGTGTAGAAATGTGAATAGATTAATGCATTGAGTTCTATTAATTTATGACTTCGTTATAAATCTGTTCTCAAGCAATGGGTACATTTTCTACAAATTTAAACTAAAAATAACTGGCCTTAAATTTGCCAGATGTTGACAACAGTCACGCTGGAGGACGTAGACAATTCTACTGAGAACATATCAATCACATCAACAAAAGCAAAACCCATAAATATGGAGGGCTAACTACAAATACAATATGAATATTGTATTTTTAAAGCAGAACATTGGCAAGCATAACAGATGTATGGCTACCATATATTTATAAGTCTTATTAAATAGTACATCTTTTGATGAACAGTGTCAGAAGACACTGAACTGAATCTTGACTCTCCAATAAAGGGATAAGCCTATATATTTCTTCTAGGTGTACAATCCTAAAACATTATCAGGATTTATGTTTATACACATCAGTTACATTTTCCACAGACAGGTTTTTAACACCTCCTCTTCCTTTCAGCATGAGTCAGCCACTTGCCTGTGTTGATAAGGATGCCTAGCATGACCTAACATCAATGCCCTTTTTCGCTCTAGTGCCACACAACAGATGTGCTGTCTCTAATCAGTGGGCCCAGGTAGAATATCCTATGTTTAACATTTGGTGCTTGAAAGAAAAGCCTTAGTGACCATCAGTACAAGTGTCCCTTATCTGGAATTTGAAATGTTCCCAAATCAAAGTCGTCCAGATAGGTGGCTGTAATAGTGGTGCCTTTGCTTTCTAATGATTCACCATGCACAAACTTTGTTTCAGGCACAAAATTATTACAAAAATATTACAAATACATTATAAAAGAACGTTAAAGAGGGTGTGTATAAAGTGTATATGAAATGTAGATGAATTTTGTGTACTGACTTTGGTCTCATTTTCGAAACATCTCCTTACATAAATGCAAGTATTTCAAAATCCAAAACCATTTATGGTTCAAAGAATTTTAGATAAGGGATTTGTGACCTATTGTTGTTGTTGTTGTGTGCTTTCAAGCCACTTCTGACATATGGCTATGCAATTAAGGGTTTCTGTGGCTGAAAGTGTATGCTTTTGCCAAGGGTCACCCATGCCGAGTGGGGTTTTGAACCCTGTTCTCCCAGTGTCCACTGGGTCACACTGAGTGCATCCACACAGCAGAATTAATGCAGTTGGACAGCACTTTCATTGCCAGACTCAATACTTTGGGCTGCTATGAATTGTGGGAGTTGAAGTGCTAAACACCTGGAGGGCTGAAGTTTGCCCATGCCTGCTCTATGGGAAGTCAGACTTGGCCACGGTAGTCCACACTTTTTACATCCTGACTAGATACTGCAACGTGCTCTATGTGGGGTTGCCTTTGTAGACTGTTTGGAAGCTTCAATTAGTCCAACAGGAAGCAGCCTGATTGCTCACTGGAGCGCCGTACAGGGAGCACACAACCCCGTTACATCAGCTCCACTGGCTGCCAGTCTGCTACCAAGCACAACTCAAAGTGCTGCCTTTAGCCTGTAAAGCCCTAAACTGTTCTAGCCCAGCTTACCTGTCTTCACATATCTCCCTCTATTATCCACTTCAAAAGTTAAGATCATCTGAGGAAGCCCTGCTCTTGATCCCACCACCTTTGCAACCGCGATTAGTGGGGACGACAGGGCCTTCTCAGTGGTGGCTGCTCGTCTATGGAACTCCCTCCCCAATGAAATCAAATCAGCTCTCTCCCTTCTGTCTTTCAGGAAGAAGCCTAAGATGTGGCTGTGGGACAAAACATTCACTCGATAAATAGTGCAATATGGTTAACGGACTGGGTTAAACCCTTGTGCTGGCAGAACTGAAGACCGACAGGTCGCAGGTTTGAATCCGGGGAGAGCGCGGATAAGCTCCCTCTGTCAGCTCCAGCTCCCCATGCAGGGACATGACAGAAGCCTCCCACAAGGATGGTAAAACATCAAAAAACATCCTGGCGTTCCATGGGCAACGTCCTTGCAGACAGCCAATTCTCTCACTCCAGAAGCAACTTGCAGTTTCTCAAGTTGCTCCTGTCACAGAAAAAAAAAACCCGAACTAATGGAATTGAAATTGGACAGGCCTTGGACTACAATCTCAATTGCGTGGTTTTAACTTATGTTTTAATAATTAACATTTAATTCTATGGTTTTAATTATATTTGTTTATTTTTATATGTATTGGCATTGAATCGCTGCCTGCTGTAAGGCCGCCCTGAGTGCCCTTTTAGGGTGAGCAGGGCGGAATAAAAACAAGTGAAAACATGGTTGTTTGAGCATGCGGTTACAAATGCAGAGTAACTGATATAGGAAATCGAATGCCTCGACGATGGAATTGGACAATTTTTATAATAAGGAGACGCTAATGATGTTTTTTTAATTGCTTCTGATGTGTTTTATATTGTTGTAATATTTTAACCTATATTATGATATTATGTTTACTGATTTGTAAACTGCCTTGAGTCGCCGACAGGCTGAAAAAGGCGGCATACAAATACAGTAAATAAATAAATAATATGGGTTGTCGAAGGCTTTCATGGCTGGAATCACTGGGTTGTTGTAGGTTTTGTCGGGCTGTATGGCCATGTTCTAGAGGCATTCTCTCCTGACGTTTCGCCTGCATCTATGGCAAGCATCCTCAGAGGTAGTGAGGTCCTTTGAGGATGCTTGTCATAGATGCAGGCGAAACGTCAGGAGAGAATGCCTCTAGAACATGGCCCTATAGCCCGAAAAAACCTACAACAACCCAAATAATATGGGTTTCTCTGCCAAAGACTGCTGGTGCCTCACCACACTACATATCCCAGGGTTAAGGTAGTTAAAAATGGTGTCCAAGTGCATTCATTCCAGAGATGCACCACCCATCGCCTCAACCTCTATTAGGAACCAAATCTCCCAAAACAGGCCAGGTTCAAAATGGCCACACCCCTGTCAAGGCCAGCTTTGGGGTTCCAACCCGCTTGGACCAAACCATTGTTCCATAATTGGAGAGGGATAACTCATGAGAAGCGGGCGCCCACCTTCTCAAACCGTCCCCTTCCCCCCCACCCCCGCCCGCCATGGTTCGGCCCAACCCCCGCTTTCTCTCCCCCCCCCGAAGCATATCTAAACCGATCCCAGGTGACGTCACTGACACTCCTCTCAAAAGGCTCCCGAAGGAGGAAAGAGCAGAAAGGAACTGTGAGGGGAGTCTTCTCTACCTTCGTCGTAGTTATAGCCACGCACGTTCCTATGCCGGGCCATGGCGAGCAAGCCGATGAAGGCCTGAGGTAGAGAGGCGAGGTGGTAGGTAGGCCTTCTCACAGCCCTAAGGGTGGGCACCTAGAACGCCTTCGAGTCGCCATGTTTCTTGGCTTGGGCCTACCGAGCGACGCCCCGCCTCCCAGCCCCTACCGCGACAGGCTTCTCGCGCATGCTCTTTGGCGCGCGTGCGTTTTCCTTTCGGGCTCGAGCGCGCATGCGCGGCGCCCTCGAGACGTTTCAACGGCTGGTTGGGGGGCGCGCGCGCTCGCGCGCGGCTACACACGGCCCCGCCCCTAGAGAGCGTGGTCCTTGTTTGCTGGCGCAGGCCATGTTCTACGTCAGAGGAAATGTCCAATCGCTTGGCGCCAGGCGGCCAATCACCGCGCAGGCCGTCGACGCTCGAAAGCTGCCCTCGTTTGACAGGTTGGGTGTCTTTGCTTGGAAGAAAGGCCAGGAACGTTTTGTTGACTAGGCCTGTCAGTGGAAACTGGAGGCGTATTCCTGGGTCATTTATGTTTCATATACGCTCAGCTTGATGGTAATTAACACAGGCCTGTAAAACTGAGATCCTTTCCACACAGCTGAATAAAATCCCACATTTTCTGCTTTTGGAATATATGGCAGTGTGGACTCTTAATAAATAATGTTAGCTGGAGGGTGGGCCATGGATGATGGGACTTCAAGTACCTTCACTCACTTCCTGAAAACAATGCAACTATCATCCATTGAGCAGTAAAGACCAAACTTGCCATACAGAACCACCATTACCCACTTTCTCAAATAATCCGGGCAGCGGCGGGTCTCCAAGATAGTAACCATCACAGAGATTAAGATCCTCCGGGGAGGCCCTGCTTTCCATCCTGCCATTGTCACAGGCGCGATTGGTGGGGACGAGAGACAGGGCTTAGTTGTGGGTAGCTATGACTAGAATTACACTATGAGTGATATTCTGTACAGCTGCAAGAGCTTTTATGAATGTTTATTTAGCTTTACACACATACAAGTGAAAATATCTGTTTGTTTGTTCCACAAAGGCTTCTCCGTGGCTTGATGGATTTGTACCAAACTGGTACACATACCATTCATGATACAAATGAAAATGCTAGAGGGGATTAAACCACATTCAGGACTAGATCAGCCACCATATGGAAGTATATAGATAGACTACCTCAGAAGGTGATGGGCACTCAACTCCAAAGCAACGGGCACTTGATTTCCTGGTTCCAATATTTTCAAATTCATCTGAGATGGCAAGATCAAAATGTTGGTATTCAAGAAGTAGATGCATAATTAGACCTACAACTGCATAGAAACACAAATGGATTGCTAGAATCTACAAAATATTTCTTTAAAAAACCACACAGAGGAAGATCAAGTAAAAGACCACATAATTGAATGGGCACAAAACATTGGACATAATATTGAAATGAGTACATGGGAATACATGTGGAAAAGAGGGTTAAAATCCACCCGCAACTATGGCCTTCACGAGAATTTTTATACGATAACGTATTGTTGGTATATAACACCAGAATAACTAGCTAAAATCCAACCTAAGAGAATATCTGTTGGAAATGTAATGCAACATTTGGCTCCTTTTACCATATGTAGTGGTCATGTCCACTGACTAAAAATATTGCATAAAAATACACAAAATAATGGAAAATATAGTAAACATCTACATTATTTTAGAGTTTGAAACCTTTGTATTAGGTCTCATTCATAAATGAATTTCAAAATAATTTTCAATACATGGCATCAGCAGCCAGAATATTATTTGCTAAATATTGGAGATAACAAACATCAACAGTAGAAGATTGGGAAGTGAAGCTCATGGAACTCTCCAAAATGGAAAAGCTGCCTAGACAGCTACAGAATCAGGATGCAAATACTTTTTTAAAAAGATTGGGAACCGTTAGCCATCTACTTGAAAAATCTAAAAATACCAATGATTGGCTTCTTAAATTGAATAAAGTACGTTGAACTGACAAAGGACTCAAGTTGAACAACAATTGATGGAAAGTATCTTTCAACACTATTGAGAGCACAAGATAGAATTTCTACCCAGGAAAATCAAGTTTCCCAACTTCTTTTCCGTTCCTATTTTTTTGTAAATAGAGCAATATACTGAAAATAAATAAAAATAATATTTTTAAATTATTATTATTATTATTAATGGAGAGATGCTGGCTTGGGCATCAGCAGGGAGGCACTCTAAGAGTACCCATCAAAGGGCCATTGAGACATTCTAAGGAAGGCCTTCTCAGAAAGATAGGCAAACATGGAAGCAAGCTGGAGAAGGAAGAAATGAGTCCTTAAGATGACAAAATGTTAGCATATGTACCCGACGAATTACTATTCCAAATAAATAGCATTATTTAATGTATGCTTGGGCAACACCAGGCACATACATGTGTGTGTATAAAATAGCTATCTAGTATAGGCCTATCCACACACATCTGCTCTCTGCACCAGTAATCAATAATTATTTCCTCCAGACTTGTGACCAGACTTGTGACCAAGAAGACTTATTAGTTTTAAGATATGAGGCCAGGTAGTACATCAAAACCAAGGAAGCTTGTTACATCTTATTATCATATATGCAATGCAACCTGTCCCCTGCCACATGCACAATGGAGGACCTTCTTGCAGCAACACCAGAGACACTCCAAGTGACCAGCTACTGGTCAAAGGACATTTAATAAAATACCAAGTTTGCAAACTTTGTGTTTTGTTTGTTTATTTGTTTGTTTTTAATGCAATACAACTGCTTTGATTCGCTTCTGACACAATAAATAAATAAATGATATATGCAAATACAGATATTCTGAAATCTAAAACACACACTGTCCCAGATACAGTGGATAAAGGATACCCGACTTGCACATGCTTTGCAAAATTAAGCACAAAAAGAGGCAGAAGATAAGACTTTTAAGCCTGAGGTGGGTGAAAAGTAGCCTTCAGATGTTGAGATATATAATCAATGATGAAGGATGAAGAGATTTGCAACCCAACAAAATGTATGAGATGTCTCTTGCTGTGAGGCCTATTTTTTTCACTTCCTAATTTGTCAAATCTATTTAAGAGTTGTCTCACTATATGGTATCAGCTGTATCACTTTATATAAGTAAAGCAAATAAAGTAGATGTGTAATTTGCTGTTTGTAAAAATACTTGTATTGGTTAAAAGGAAAATATAAGATGTTATGAAATAAATGTTAAAATATTGGAACCATAGTATGTCAATACAGTTTTCTATATCAATTGATATGCTTCATTTTGTAAATCTCATAGCCAGGGGAAATTATCAGTTTATTAGTAGGTTTGAATTTTTTCACAAGTCTAATATGTCAAGATCTGTCACTAGAACAAAAAAAATGTAATGAGTAAAGTTTAATTGCTAGAAGAAATACACTATCTTTTAAAGGCTAATCTTGTATAACAGATGTCTTCTCCATTTTATAAATCTACTTGAAAACCTATCTGATAAAAGTGAATGTCTGTAGTGTGATGATTTGTTTATATCAGTGTGCTTGTCACTCTGTGCTTTAAAAAAGTGCAATAATACCACAGAGTTTGGTGGATATTGAAAATATGCAGGGTCTTGATAATGACACTTGCCCACAAATTTCAAAACAATCATTTTCTAGGGGGAAAAAAGACTTGAGCCAATTACATGGTGTTATTGTAGTTCTATACGTTAGCACAATGAGCATTAATATTTTGATATCTGTAATTGTAATGAAATCAAAACATATGGTATCTGTAATTAAAATAAAAATATTATATATCGTAAGTGATAGTGTATACAAATTTTACTAAATAATGCTAATTTTATGTAATATCATGAAATTGATCTTTTCGTGGAATCTTGGGGAAGTTATATCCCACCTTCATTTTTCTATCTGCAGGAATGAAAACTATATAGCTATAATAGTTGTGAAGAGGTTGACAAATGGATGCAGTATTCCAGGTAAGATGGCTGTCACCTGCCTCCTGTAACTTCGGCCCCTTCTACACAGCTATATAAAATCTACATTGAACGGGGTTGTATGGCAGTGTGGACTCAGATAACCCAGTTCAAAGCAGGTATTGTGGATTATCTGCCTTGATATTCTGGGTTATATGGCTGTGTGGAAGGGCCCAGAATCTGTTCTTTAGATCTGATTAATTGCCATTCCATCTTTCACTCTATCCACATTTGCAAGTTGTTTTTTCAACCTTTCGCTTCTGCTGTTTCAGTGAGAATGATTTGTTGTCCCCACAGCAATTTCAAAAAGCCTTCATACAGAAAAGTTTTAGCAAAAAAAAAAAAAGAAGTTAAACATAAATGATATGCTTTCTTTCAGTCAGCATGGTATAGTATTTTGAGTGTTGGACTAGGTTTCTGGAGACCAGGGATGAAATCCCTGCTTAGCCATGGAAAACTTACTGGGTGATCTTGGATAAGTCATACTGTCTCAGGGTCCTTCTACACAGCCATATAGCCCAGAATATCAAGGTGGATAATCCACAATATCTGTTTTTCTGAGTCCACACTGCCATATAATTCAATTCAATGTGGATTTTATACAGCTATGTAGAAGGGGCCTCAGAGGAGGGCAGAGACAAACACATCTGAACAAATCTTGCCAATCCCCCCATGATAGTAGAAGGGACAGAGCACCAGTGTCTTTTGCACTCCAGATACCCTCTGATTTTAAAACACGCCACACGTTGAGTGAAAAACTAATCCTTTTTATTGAATCTGAGCAAAATAGCCAGTAGAAAGAAATGCTTGTAAAAATAGGAAAATTTCAAAATGTAAAAGATCAGTAAAATGCATTAATTCAAAGCAATGTCCACAAAAGATATAAAAACAATCCAAGGCAGTATTTATCCAGACAGAAATCAACAGGTTGCAAAGATAATCCAGAAGGTGCTAGACCACAACAAAATGCTAAAAATCTCTATAAGAACAAGACCCCTTGAACAGGATTTCCAAGGCACATGAACATGATTTCCAAACGATGCCTGGTCTAACAGGCTTTCCCTTGAAACAAACCTTATATTCCAAAGCCCCAAAATTGGTTTCGTTTCCCCCCACTCTTGCCTCTTATCTGACAAACCCTTTCGGAGCGACGTAAACATTGAGTTTGTTGTCGATCCTGGCTGAACTCTAGCTGCCTATTTTTCAACTCCCTTTCTGGCT